ATACGCAGCGCTGAGAAAGATCCACTTTGTAAGCACCCAAGGAAAAAATTGCCCATTTGCGCACTTGGGGAAAATGTTTTACTTCTATTGCCTTTAATAGTTAAAAGCTCTGCCTGGGTTCACTTAGCTTTATTTTTATTTTTTTATATCTATACATATACTATATATAACAAGCTTGTTCACCTGGTAGATTTTTCTCAGTCTGTGATAGCTCTAGTTAAATTGTGATTAGTTTTTAAGGAGTCTTTGATGAACACCAGATGCCACCAGATTACTGTACAGTTTGGAAGAAATCCCACGGCTATGGCCTCCTTTTCTTGTATGTTTCAGATGCCTCTGCAAAGCAGGAGCACAGCCATTTTTTTTTTTAAAAATATCACTTGAATTGATCTCTGTAATCCACTTCTTCCAGACTGATTGAAACAGCAAAGCAAAAAAACTTTTCACATAGCCTCACATTTCTCTGTTTGTGTGTGTTTGTGTGTATCAGCTTTTGTGGTCAGAAGACTAACAAAAGCCATCTTTAATATGACTTTGCAGGCAGTCATTTAAAATGATCTCCTGCTCAGATTATCAAAGTGACAAAACCACTAGGGGAGGGGAAAAATGTAAAATAAACCAAAGACAGCTTAAGTGTGCAAGTCCTCTTTCACCCCCCAATCAGATATTCACTTAGGTGGAATCGACTGTATCTTTTGTACACAACAAATAGGAAAAAAATAAAAAAAAACAGGGACGTGAAACAGTGAGGTGTGTAGATGTATTACCAACACATAATGACCACCAACAATACAACACACGAAGAGAGAGACAAGTATTAGGAAAATGGTTTAATATTGGAGACAGAAGCAAAAAACTGCATCACACAATAACATACATTACAAAAATAAGTCTGACTGTTTCAACTACACGGTTATGTTCACAATGAGGACAGAAGAATCAGAAAAAACTTTGATCTAAACAGCAAAAAAGCAAACCCCTAAAGTTGTAACTAATACATTTATCCACGTAAAGTGACCGAGTACTCCTAATTCTAATTATCTTATTGTGTAACTGCACAATACAGAATAAAAAGTGAAACTTACCGCTTGTTTTTTTTTAAAAGACAAAATTCTAAACACTAGATATAAGCAAAAGGAAAAAAAAGATAGCAAGCCAAAGTTTTTAATTCTCTAAACAAAACCAACTCTCTTTCTACCAACCAGAAATCAAACTCGAAAATCAGTCATGGTCAGGGGGCCCACAAGAGTAAGCCACAAAAAATTCCATTTGTTTTTTAATCTCCAGTATAAAAAGTTCCACTGGTACAAAATGCATAAGTACAATCAAGTTGTAGAAATAGGAAAGCCTGCTTTTTTTTTTTTTTTTTTTGGCTCAAATTCCATCAAACAACAAAATCCAAATGCATCAATAAAACAGAAACAATACTCAAATGGTCTTACAGTTTCCACTAAGTTGCATTAACTTTGGCTTTTCTCAGACAATACTTAAAAATTAGTTTGTAATTCTAAACAAAATAATAGTATTGTTAATCTACAAACAACAATTCTCACAGCACGAAAAAAAAACAAACCCCAAAACCCAAACCCCAAAACAAAACACAAATACATAGGTTTTTTTGTATGACATTATCCAAAAGGTAATGAAACTACAGGTTTTTTTTCCTTTTGTTAATTAGCACTTAAGATAATAAAAACAGAAACAGTAATATGATTTCAGAGTAGCACAAGCCAAGGAACTATAACCCCTATGGTGAAAGAAAGATGAACTTGTTAGTCATTTGAGGACTGCCATTTCATTGCAATTAGCTAATTTGTTTGAAAAACGACTAGTCTCTTCTTTTGATTAGAATTTTGGAAAGCAATTTCCATTGTTTTTCTTCCTTTCTTATTAGGCCCTTTGCAACCTTGCAGCTTTTTTCCTTTCAATATTTTGAAAGAGAACTGGGAGATAATTCGTCTCTAAGGAGATATAAGCTTTATTTTTATTATTATTTATAAAGGCAAACTTTTCCCCCAATGACCCACATTCATCACCTGGAAACACAGAAACATTCCCTGCTAAAAATGCTGGGCCAGATCCTCGTTGGTGTAAATCATGGGGGTGGGGTGGGGGGTCTTCTGAAGTCTATGAAGCTATGCCAGTTTACAGCAGCTGGGGTTCTAGGATATTAACTCTAACATTCTAACTGGACTCTAAACCTGCAGTTCGCACTGGGGCTGCTGCATTGAAGGGATCTGAAAAACCCTTGGAAATTTATATGGTGGATAAAATGAGAAGAATTAGTGAAACAGAAAAAAAATCAGATTATATTCTCATATTATATATATATGTGCATATATATAATATAATGGGTGATGATACTTTGAATAAGCAAAATTGCTGCAAGAATTACAAAATAGCCCTCAAAGGGTGTAGGAAGGCCTCCGCAGTAGTAAAAACATGTGAGAATAATATAGATCATTTAGTTATAAGTGCATGTGCTATAAGGAGGAAACTTTTTTGCATCACTAGAGGCTAGTCCTTTCCATCCCAGGGCTTCTACATAAACGAGCATTTAAGCAAAGTTGGGGACGAGAGACAGAGTGCACCACCTGTGTCTTTATGCTGTTCATATAGGGCTTCACTTTTAATTTTAGAGGCTTTGAATATAACCAAATAGGAATAGATAATCGAAGAAGATATGGCACTTAGTTATCAGAAGCAGGTACTGCTGCTCACATGCATTGAATTGGCAATGGATTCTATTTTCCAGTAGTAAAGAACCAAATTTGGTCACTGGTGGCGACTCGTGCTGTAGACATGCAATCCAGTCAAATTTAAAAGGCAGTGAAAAGGCTACCAGCATCTCTTTTTGGGTTCCTTACATAGGGCTCAATCCAACAAACAACCACTTAAATCACATACATATTCTCATTGATTACTGGCGCAAGTAAAGTTACTTGGGTGAGTGTCTGTAGGATTGGGCCCATATATTGTCAATACGAATAACGGCAGATAACACCAAGAATTACAGCATATGTAAACTTTATCCATAAAAAGTAGTTTAACTGCAGTACACATTGAATTTTCACCCAGGAAGATCTAGTGCATCTGATTTAAGCAAAAGTTCATTTATTTAATTACAAAAATATTGTTTTTTCTCCTCAATGTTTTCAAATGGTGGAATAACCACTCCAATCTGGGAGCGGCTCACACAATAGATAATTAAAGAATTGTTTTTTTATTTTATTTTATTAATACTGAATAGCATATTCCAGCAGCATATTAAAAGCTCTTTAAGAAAAGACAAAAAACCCAAAATCTAAAAAGGAAAACCACAAGTTAATTACTGTTTTAAATAATTTTAGTTATAGATACAGAAGAAATTTAGACAGCAGTAAAATAATTTTTTGTCCTTCAGATCTGCCCTGTGCATTTTTCTGATTTCAACCATGTATTAAATAAACCACAAAAAACTAAGTATATATATATATATTTATATATATAGATATATATATAAAAATAAACAGCAAAATGGTGAATGTATAAAAGGTATTAACACTCAAGACAGCTCTGGGTGGAAAGGGTTAAAAGTTCAAAACTTTCTCACCTTAGAGGTTTCCATACATTATGAAGAAAATACATTGTGAGGTTTGCTTTCACAGCATTGATGTGCAGAGTGGTTAAAAAAGTGAAACATGGGCACTTATACAATGTTTTACAAAAAACATCAAAGAGAAATAACAAACAATAACAATTTCAGGCAACAAGACCACAGGATAGCAAGTTAACAAACTTTTTAACCTCTTTTTTTTCTTTAAATATTAGGGATTTATACAAAACACATAATAAAATACCCATGTTATCAAATTACTTCACACAAGAAACACACTGAAGCTCTAGGAAGAAAGTACCTTTGGAATTTGGCACTATATTTTCACTGATTTTTTTTCTTTAAAAGAAAAACCGATCACATTTTGCTGAACACAAACACATCTAAATTGTCCACAATAAAAAAATGACATCAATGCGTCACAAGCCAACACAAACTTATTCTGGAATATTTTTTAATTTTTCACATGAAATTTTTTTTTTTAAGCAAACAACTTTTTTTTAAATTCATTTTTCGTTGTTGTTGTTGTTCAAGTAAACCAATTTCAAACTTGTCTTTTATAAACACAGAACACTTAAGACCATAAGACTCATGATGAAACCACAACTTAATTCACAGAAGCACCAACGTAACACGGTTTACAGTAACCTTTCTCCTGTACATTGAAACAGTATAAAATATAGGTAATTTCATGTGCATTAAACCATGGATTGTCTAACTGTGAGTCAGTTCAGCAAAAGGTGACACAAATAGGTAGCATTTGCCCTAAAACAGGGTAAATATTTTCTTATACTAATCTACAAAAAGTGGTTCTATATATATATTTTAATGAGAAAGTGAGCCACCTAAAATGGCCTTATCAAAAAACTTTACACTGCCTGAAAAATGTAAAAACTATTACAGACCTCTAGAGACTTAAAATCAGACAGTTTTTTTTCTCAAACTGTTTTGGAAGTAGTCTGTTAGAAACCAACATTCTGTGCCTCTGGACACATATTGCTATTGTCACCAGTGACCAGGCAGAATGCCAATCCCTGTATAATACTTTCAAGTCTGTTATTTTATTTATTTATTTATTTATTTTTGGAAAAGGAAAAAAAAAAAAAGAGAGAGAAAAAAAAAAAAAAAAAGAAAGCAAGCAAAAACATTTTTGCCACAGGTTTTTTTTTTTGTTTTTTTGTTGTTGTTTTTTGTTTTGTTTTAAACCCTATCATTAATTTGACTAATAATAAATTTCAGTCTTGCATGAATGCAGCAATGTTTTTTCACATTGACTTCCCAGAATTCATAGCTAGATGAGGTCACATGCAAATTTCAAAGGTCAAACTAGATCAAAGGTCAGTAGGAGAACCAAATATGATGTGAGGTCAGAAAGACATCAGAAACAATGACGGGACGATGAAACTTTTTTTTTTTTTTTTTTAGACGCCACAGGGACATGCTAGGCAAACGATGAACTAACGGGCATGGAGATGTCTAGGGAAAAAACAAGGAAGAGGAAAAAAGTTACATAGAATCTATGCAGCAGAAACAAAATCACTTTTATGGGTGCAGGAGAAAACTAATGCAAATCTTTCATCATTAGAGTCTATGAGCCATTCACATAATTTGCATTAACTTACAATACTCATCAACAACAGCACAATGAAACCCCAAAAGAATCCATCTGAAAAGAGTTAGAGAAGGTGGATTCATCTTTGGGGGGAGGAGAGAAGAAAGAACCATTTTCAACAAATGTAACATAAGGGGTAGGGGGAAGAAAAAAGTCAGACAACTGAACTTTAAACTAGAAAATGGAAACTACAAACAAAATAACCAGACAAGTACAAACAAGAGGATAAAAGCATGAACTGTAAAGGGTGTAGGGTTCAACGGTGAAAAAGCGCCCATTCTTGGCACAATTACTCTAGAGACTACTTCAAAGGATCTAGCTAGCATAGAGAGCTGCTCTTTAGGTATCCAATAAGTTAACAATAGGCAATAAATAACTTCCATTATTTCTGAGGCAGTAAAAATTTTGTATAAAAATAGAAATGCTTTTTACAAATAAAATTTACAGGCCTGTGGCTTTCTTTTTTATTTATTATTATTATTAAATTTATCTCTCAAGAAACATCAAGTATCGTCACTCATTTTATTTTATTTTATTTTTATTTTAAACCCTGTAGCTTTAGAAACAGATCTCTAAATCTTTTTTACATTATTCCTTTCCAAAAAACTAAAGAAAACTAAAAAAAAAAAAGTGAACTATAAAGACGACCAGTGTAATATCAGACTAATAGAATGTTATGTTGATTTGAACCCCTAAACAAAAACAAAAAATAAAAATAAAAATAAAAATCATTTTCAAAAACAAACCGATGTAGTGGAAAGACTTTTTGTTGTCATTGTCTCACAATAAGTGCTTCTGCTGGCATAAGACCATTATGTTTAACCTATAAACTGCTGGTGCCACCCTGATAAGATTGGGTTCATACATACAAAACAGCTTTTATTTCCCCTAAGTGTGCTAATGGCACCAGGGTTCACAGAGTTAAATTGCACCTTTTTTTTTTTTGGTCGCTTTTAATTATTAAAATATCGTTTATTAAAAAAAAAAAAAAAAAGAAAAGAAAAAAACGGAGATAAATTATGTCGCAAAATAAAATACAGTAACACAACTCAGTAATTACTTGGCCTGGAAACAGCAGCCAAGTTTAATTGTGGTGAGTGGGGAAATGGAAGCGATAACTGTAAAAATAATTGTCTCTTGGTGAAGATTGGCAATATGTTCTTCCTTAGCCCCCCTCCCCCCCGCAGAAGGGCAGGTTTGCTCATGGGACTTACCCTAAGAAAGCTAAAACAAGAGCAGTGAGCATCTGGGGTTAAGATCAGTAAGGTTTGCTGTCGTTTTTGGAGCGTTTCAGCTGAACCTTCAAGCGTTTCATGCCAATCTGAAAGCCGTTCATAGCCTGGATAGCAGCTTGCGCAGAGACTGGATTGTCATAGCTAACAAAACCTACAAAATACAGAACGGAGGGGGAAAGAAAGTGAAGATAGGGTAGAACAAAAGAAGAGGGGACTGGCTCGATATACAGAAAAAAAGAGTTCGTTGTTAGTACTTTTTCTTTTAAGTGACATGTTCATTTCATGACTTTCCTTCATTCCTTTGATTATGCTTCACATTCCTTCCCTCCTAATCCATCCCAACTCTCCCCTTATCTTGCTAGGGTTCAGCATTTTGCTACCTCACCATATGCAGCTGGGACAGCAATCAAACAGCTCAGGTGTCCAAGAGCTGTATGACAAGGGGCAGTACAGTATCTCTCTCTCTGGTATTTTAGATGGTCCCCCATCACTGCAGTGTCTGAGTGCCTCACAATCATTAATGTCTTTATCCTCACAACACACCTGTAGGTAGGGAAGTGCTATTATCCCCAGGACAGAGAGGCTAAGTGATTTGTTCGAGGTCACTCAGGATGTCTGTGGCAGAGCAGGGATGAAACATGGGTTTCCCATGGCTCTAATAATAATGATACTTTGCACTTCTATAGCACTTGTCATCTCAGGATCCCGATGGACCTTGCATACCTTAATTAATAAGTGTCATGGCCCTGGAATGGGGGTAGGCAAGTATAGAGGTTAAATGACAGGTCAATAGCAGAACTGGGAACAGAACCCCAGATCTTCTGCCTCCCACGCCTCAGCACTGACCTTTAGATAGTGTTCTTTCCCTGTACTGACTATGGCTGGTTTGGTTTAAATTTCTTGTCCCCTGGAGACTCAACGCACTCTTTTCCTCATGCACTCTAATCTCCCTGAGCCTAGAAGCTTCAACTCATTTTCATATCTGGGCCTCCCACTCTTAATTGCAAAGCACTCCTGACGATCACTCTACCTCTGCTCTGGCTAATTACTGCATTGCAGCCTGGTATTATGCATCTACTTTGACATGCTCCCTTTAATTTCCACTTGAAACTGTCTTAATGAATTATTCTAGATTAGATTAAAGTGTGTATCCCTCTCTTACTCATCACCCTCTTTTCCTTCTCCCCTGGCACTGGCACTGAGGATTTTCACCCACACTCCTCTGCTAACCCCTTCATCATATCCAGTTTGTGTTCACCCAGATAAAATGCTCACCCGGAGCCTCCCCGTCTCTTGTCTTGATTACTCAACTTCCTCCTCTCTGGCTTTCCTGACACTCACTTTTCCCTCTCAAGTCATTCAAAATGCAGCTGCTAAGATCATCTTCCTGATCATCGCCTCCCTCTTTGTGTCCCTTCACTAGCTTCCTTTTCTCCACCACATCAGATTCAAACTTTTACATTTAGGGGGCCTTCCCACCTCTGACCCTCTTGTTTATTCACACTCGCATCTAATGAAATAGATCCAACCCCCTTCACTCTATTTGGTCAAGGAAGCTAGCCTTGCTCAGTCATTTATTCACTTCTCCCACACGCACTTTCACAATTCCTGCATTCTGCCACTAGGCTTGGAACATGGAACATTTTACCCAAATGTCTGTCAAATCGCTATCCTGTCCTCCTTCCAGTCCCGCATCAAGAACCATTTCTTTTATGTTGCCTGTGGGAATCTGGCCTCCCCTCTAATTTTTTCCTTTCCTTGTTGCATCTGTTTGTTACATCATGTCTTAAATTTAGACTGTAGGCTCTTCAGGGCAAGGACTTCCTCTTCCTATGCATTTGCAAAGAATTTAGTATGATGAGGCCCTGATCCTGATTTTTATCTCTGGGTGCTACTGTAACATAAATAATAAATATTTTTAATAATAATTAGTGCCAGTGCTTTTCTTTCTCACATGGCAGACTTCACTTACCATTTCCCTGGAGTATTTCTCCCCCCCCTCTTCCTTTTAGACTTTCTCGCTTTTGTGATGGTGGATCAACAGCCTTGTAGACTGAAACCCTTTGGTTCATCTATACAGCAGGTGCTGCTGAGGCAGCTGCTATGAAAACTTCCTTATACCACCCCTGACCTGGAGGGACCTGTCTAGATGTGAAAGGGCAGGTTCATCCTTATTCCCCTCAAACCTTGGAGCCTCTGCTGAGATGGACAACAAGAATGCAATTAGTGCCTGTGGCCATCTATCTGCTGAAAGTGGGTTCTCTCTTTTTTGGAGGCAGCGTGTATCAAGGTTAGAGCACCAGTCTGGGAGTCAGCACACCTGGGTTACGTTCCCAACTCTGCAAGTGATTCAGGGAGAGACCTGGGATGAGTCCCTTAGCCCCTCTATGCTTCAGTTTCTCCATCTAGAAAGGGCTTTCCCCCACCTTTATAAAACGTGGGAGATCTTCAGATTAAAAGGTGCTAGATGATTGCAAAGTATTATTACCATTACTGTTATCCCAAGTAACTCTATTCCATGTGCAATGACCAATTCTGACATGAGAGAAATGGGCTCATGAGACAGACAATCTCCGTTTTCAGGGAAAAAGTGAGAACTCTCATTAAGAAACCACAAACTGGCTTTTCTAAAGTCAAATAAGATGCCAAAAATGTAAAACGAAAGGGACATGCTTCTAAATAAAGCTGAGGGGCTGTGATATTTTATGTAAAACCAGCTTCTTCTGTAGACTGTCACCATCTCAGATCCTGATCATATCATTTACTTGATATAGGAACTTAATACATTGATGCTGCAAGCAGAGGTGTTTACTTACATTTTGTAATACAGTTTATCAAAGTATAGAGACAGGATATGTATGTAATCAAGGTATTGGTATGCATCTGATCAACCCTAGATCCTGTTTTATTTCAGAAGGGTTTAAGCATCAGACACACTTCTTCATGTGATCCTTAGTTATCTAATTTCCCTGCAGCTCAAGCGTTCTACATGAAACCTGACACTGACTGTACCCCTCTTCATCCCCTGCCCTATCATAACGACAGATGCTACCTGTACAGTTGAACCTACTTGTAATACTTGTAGATGCACGTATAGGCAGCAACTAGCTGTAACATATTCTGTGCTACATATGTGTACACTATACAAACACTAATTGCACAGTACTGTACTTAACCCAGAAGTACAAGTAATGGGTTAAACACAGAGAGTTTTAAAGAGGTTCGGCTATACAATAGAGGATAATTAGGTATCCATAATAAGGCAGCTTAATAGTATAGTAAATGGCATTCCCCCACATAGGGTGTAATTAGTTTCATGTACTTGACACATCCATAGTAGATGTCAGACTGGAAGGTTTTTTTTCAAATCCAGTTTTTAGTTTGAACTGCTTTGTCTGTGCATCTTTCTGTACTTTTGAGGATTACAAGCCATAGCTCTGGGATCAGGTTCACCATGTACAATTTTACTTTTCAATTGATTAAATGTTGCTTACCAAAGCACTTGCTCAGATTGGTCTGTTTATCAATGAAGACTTTAGCAGAGATCACATTCCCAAAGGGCATGAACATCTGCAGAATGTCCTGGTCTCCAAACTCCTGGGGGAGGTGGTAAATAAAGAGGTTTGCCCCTTCTGGACCTTTAGAGACAGGAAAACCACAAAAAAACAGTATGAAAAGAGCTATTAGAAGAGTTCTATTTCATCTCTCTTTTTTGGTAATTTAGAAGGTGATGGGCAAACACAGTTCAGTTTCAGACTTTTTGAAGTAACAAAAACAAAGCAAATGGACAAAATAGCAGTGGCTCTTTTATAGATTTGTACTTGATACCTCTATTATAAGAGAAGCTGAACTGCAGCCTCCTTCCTAAACTCACGTAAGACTGCCGAGCTTGTCCTAAAGTAGGGTTATGGTTAGAAGAGTGACTGCATGAAAGTGGCACCTTCTTACGACAACTCTGCTCTCTGCGTCTCTTCAAGCTGTCCAGCTATGGAAGAGCGAGTTGAGTTCTATGCTGCCTCACACATCTTTTGTCAGCTAAACCAGAGACATTATTAGCGTAAGAGATAGAGCCCAGCTCAGTTCTAAAGATCCCATGTTTAAGCCTGCAGGGCAGGCAATTGGGGACAGGGGGAAGTAAAACAAACCTTCCTTTGACTTACAAACTGAGCTGGCTGATTTTCTTTGCAAATAACCGAGGGACAAAAAAAAAAAAAAAGGAATGCTCATAAGAAAATGTGTAGTCATTTTTCACAGTACACGTGTTGTTTTAACAACAAAGAATCCGGTTAGAAAGCCCTCACCACCTGGCAGGGAACTCTGTCAAAAGAAGAGCTGGTCAAGATTTTTAACTGATTTTTTTCCCCCAACAACAACAAAAATGAATTTTCCTTGAAATGGAAGTGTTTTGGAAAATCTTTTTGAGTTCTGTGAAATTTCATATGAAAATATCCATTTCGTTTTTAACTGGAATTTTTTTTCTTTCACACTGAGTTTTGTATTGGTTTTTGAAAGCCAGTTAACAGAAATAAAATTGATTTTTTCACTGAGCTCTAGTCAGAAGTTTCTCATCATCAGCTCTGCCTCCCTATTACCATAATAATCTGGAAATGAAAAGAAGAGACGAAAGAAGACTTTCCAGTGTGAAACTGGACATGTGGCCTTCCTAGTCACAGAGCAACACGGGGATTCTAAGATGCCACACGATTCTGGTGCAGGCAGCTTCTGGAGTAGACTAAATGGATATTCCCTGGCTTGAGTGGAGACCAGATGTGTCTCAGATGTGCTGCGTTTGATTACTGTCTAGGGGAGGAGAGGAAAGTGCAGGCCAGACACTTATGGAGTACCTTCTGCAGCAGATTCATGGAGCCGCACTGGTGTTCACAATAGAGGAACCAGACTGCCTGCCCTCTCACAGCCTGAGGGGAGGGGCTGCAATATTTGCCCTAGACAGGGGGTGCATGGGTTGGAAGAAAACAAAAAACAAAACAAAAAAACCAACAACAAAACAACAGGGTGAAAAAAAAAAAAGAATTTTATAAAATGAAATGGAAAAAAAATCACCTGGCAATATGGAAGAGAGGTCAAATGAAGTTTCTTCTTACAAAAAAAAAAAAAAAAAAAAAAAAGTCCTCTCAACAAAATGAACTTTCTTAATCACTGAGCAAAACTGGTTTAACACAGATTGATAGCAGTATGCATAAAACAATTCACCCCATTTCATTTAACGTTTAATGCAATATTTTCCTCTGGTAGCTGGTTATCCTCCTCTAAATATTCCAGACTCCTAGCCATTCCATCAGAAGTGAAACACGAACACAGCCAGCAGAATTTAATAATGAAACTCGCTCACCTTAACAGTCCCCCACTGGAAAAGACAGCAAGATGACAAAGGCCTTTACTTTATAAGGGACACTGTCACATGGGGAATGATAAAACGTACTATTGATAAAAATGCTTTTGTGAACTTAAAAACAATGAAGATAATTTAAAAAAAATAAAAGCCAGTCCTACACTATTTGCCACCCAGTCACAACAGAGAATCAGCTTCGGTTTATGGTTTTATCCAATCTGAATGAAATGGAAATCAAAAACAAAAAACAATCGAACAAAGCCAGGGAGCCAAAATAGTGAGAAAAATAAATGAATTTTAAAAAATTATTTCAACTTCAATCATCTAAATTGTTAATGGTAAAAATGGTAAGAAAATTATAAAATACATATTTATTTTAATTTGACAGTGTCCCTATTAAATCCCTAGCGTTGAGGGTTTCAACATTGTCTGCCTAAGAGACACCATGTTCCATAACGATTCAAGAGACTATTTTAAAAGAGGATAAAAAACTTCTTTTGATGCCATTCACTAGCCCTTGTTCCAGTGTATCTCTGGCAAGAACAGTAAGTATAATGACGACTCTTTCTTAGAAGGCGTACAAAACTTTTCTATCTTCTAAAATTAGCTGAAAGTTAAGGGGGTGGGAATTAAAAACAAAACCCCAAGAAGGCTGCCGGGGGAGAGAAGAGAGAGACTATCCTCATTTCGCTAAACATTTTGTGATTAGTATTAATGTATTCTTAGCGTTAACTTCCTGAGGTTTATTTTGCTCTGTTGGCACAGAAAGAGGGGCAACCAATCACTTACTTGCTTCCCCTCAAGACCCACAATTAAACAAAGAACCACTTGATGTAACGACGGATCTCGTCATTAACCTGAAAACTAAAATCTAATAGCAGCTAGATGATCAAGCATACATAGAAACCACAAGGAGGAGAGGAAAGGGGAGAGTTACCCACACAACACTTCCTCCCTCACCCACCTTCCAACAACAACAAATTTTTATTTTTATATATATATATAATTAATTTAAAAAAATGCTTTTAGGATGGTTTTCATTAGCAGCGTCTTTTGTAAGCAGCAGCCAATGAGTACTTTTACATTAACAAACAATGGGTGGTAAAATACACCTTGAAGGATAGATGGCAAAAACTAAATTAAAGGATAAAACAAAAACAACACTGAACAGGAAAGAAGAAAAGGTTAAAAATCAGTGGTTAGGCTCATCATGTTTCTTCAGAAAGCATCTATGAAGAAATAAGCCAAACCCAACCAATGTAGAAAGGCTGAATTTAGCTTATCGTAAAATTTGGTATTGCTGCTTGAGACGTGTGCTTTGCGGCCCTAGCAGGTGCTGCTTACCTTCTTTCTGGCTGCCTGCAGCACTTTGTTGCTGTAACAAACTCTGACTGTACAATGTTGGCAGTGCTGCTGCAGCGTACTGCTGAATTCCTGAGTAGGCCTGGGTGAGGGCGTCCATTGTGCCTGCTGTACCGTTCGTCAAGCCTGTTGCGCCAAGTCCTCCATTCAGGGCAGCCATACCTGAGAGCATTTGAGCAACTTTACAAAAAACCCAACAATAGAGAAAAGAAATTGCACTTGTTCATTAGTGCTTTCCAAAAGTAGTTGGCATTATATGACACCGACAATGACGGCAGTGCATGCAAGCCAGCACTTCACCAAATGGAACTGAAAACAACGAAACACAACTTCAGTAAAGATCACTTCGGCACAATGGTTTGATGACCAAATCTATTCACATGCAATCTGCTACTGGCAAGTACTGTAACACCGTGCTTCTGAAATTCTGTTCTTCCACGTGCCCCAAGACACACACATTGGGCTACATGATCTTGAGGCTATCCAAAGACTGTAGGAAGGAATTCACTTGATCAAGGGTGGATTCCTTGTGGTATTGGCAATGGGACAGAGTGTTCACTGGGACACAGTTCAAATCCAGACTGGTCATTAGTGACTGGAAATTACTACCATATGAATGAAGTTTGCCAATTAATTTTACATAGGCCACCAATCTCAGTTACCCACATTCCAAAACCACCACCACTACAGTTGGCACCCTTCTGTGCATTGCAGAACATGGGCAAGGTAACTGAACGGGCATGGAGGCATGGCTATCCTCTCACTCCTGGTATCTCCTGATCAGGGCTGGGAAGCATTGGCGGTGTGGTGTAGGGTAGCTAGCAGTGCTGCAATCTAAGCTGTGCCTGTCTTGCTGATAAAGAGAAATCTTTGGTCTCTAGTGTTGTCATTCCCTCGCTTCTTATTGGCAGTAACATCACTTTATAAACACTGGTCTGCACCCTGCTAAATAGCATATTAACTTAACTGGGATGACTGCCAGGGAGGACATTCAGGGCAAGGACTCTAAGCTATGGATAAATGGCACACCCAATCCATTTATATGGCACTGTCTGTGATGAGAGTTTTATATCTCTGAATTGATGGTTGACAGCAAAAACTTCTTGTGGTGCAGCCTTCTATGCCACTTCTTTTTCCTATTATAGTTGTTAAATGTGTCACCTGTGTCTTCAAGTGCTACAGTGAAAAGTTTTAATATTAATTTTTACTGCAATTCGTGGAATAAAAGTGAATTTTCTCCCTACATTTAGATATAGGCCCTGCAGTACTGGAAAGGGCAGCAGATTGGAACAAATTTAGAGAAGAGCAGTAAAATGATTAAAAGAACTAAGGGCTTGGATTTTCAGAAGAGCCGATGACCCATACTTCCAACTAAAGGCAATGGGAGCTGCAGGGACTCAGCAAAATTGAAAATCTGGCCAGATTTCAAAAGTGACTAGTGAACTTGTGTGCCTGAATTTATGGGTGCCTAACTTGAGGGAATTTCAATGGGACATGATTTTCAGAGACTGCTGAGCACCTGCCCTCTGAAAATCATACCCCCTCTTTAAGGTGTCTCCAGTTGGGCACATAAAAATGGAAACATCCAAAATCACTAGTTACTGTTGAAAATTTAGGCTATGATGCGTAGATAGTAGCTTGGCAAAATGATGACTAAGGTGGGGCCGGGGGACATGTTAAATACCAAAGGTGGCAAACCCAAAGGAAGGGAGAGAGGAATTATTTGGAGTGGGAATAAGGGGGCATGTATGTTGGAAAAAGGTGAGGAAGTTAAGCTGAGCACAATTTATGGCAACGGTCTTGAAAAAAATTAACCATTAAATCTATTAGACTGTGCAACAGTGTTCTCCAAGGGAAGTGGCAGAAACCCTATCCTATGACAGGTTTCAGAGTAGCAGCCGTGTTAGTCTGTATCCGCAAAAAGAACAGGAGTACTTGTGGCACCTTAGAGACTAACAAATTTATTAGAGCATAAGCTTTCGTGGGCTACAGCCCACTTCTTCGGATGCAATTTAAAGATGGACTGGCACTAAGAAGTGTACTGCAGGAAGCAATCCTGCCTTGATAGAGAACGCTGAAGAGGATTACTGAATAGCTCTTTTCCATCTCAAATGTATTGATCCTAGCACAGTGTATTCCTATGAGCTTCTGATAACCATGACCATTGTTCAAGTGGCACCTTCTTGCTTTTCACTAGGGTCTATGCCAATTAGGAGGATTCTACTATATAAATTATACCCTTTGATATTAGCATAATTTGTGTAACATTAACACTGGACAGAGATGCGATATTCCGCCATCTCTGCTTAGTAAAATGTCTTGCACTTGGAAGTTCTAGAACTGGGAGGGCGGCAGAGGGAGGAAAGGACGCTGATGTGGTGGATGCCAACCCACCACATCACAAAAACGAAAGAGCCAAGCCTGTTTTGGAACACAAAATAGCCAGATTTTTTTGGTAAGCGGTGCTGAATAAGTGTAAGAAAAACCTCATTATCAATAATGAGACACCAATATACTTCTATGAAATGTTTTCCATCCAAGAGGAAGAGCTTTTGAAAATAAGGATTCAGCACAGCAATTGTGTTAAAATAATGGGTTCGTGCTGGTTGAGAAGCCCTTAATCAGCTCCTGCCACTCCAGCCCCAATCAAGCCTGTTGTAGGCAAAGTAGCTGTGAAGCCTGTATATAGTTGGGAACTGGTGGTGAGAAACCTTTTGAGAATAAAGAGCTCAGGTGTTGCACCAGATTGAAATGTCCCTGACTCATCGAAGAGGGAGGCCCAGGGACCAAATACTCACGGGCGCAGCGTGAACCCCATTACAGTTTGGTATTGAAATCTAACTGCAACCCTACCAAGAGATCTGAATATTGTTTTCTGCCATTGCTTGTGTGTGTGTGTGTGTGTGTGTGTGTGTGTTTGTTTTTGCAACATTGGTTGAATTAAATGACCCCAATAAACCACTTCTTGTCTCTGGCCCTTTTTGTACAGTGTTGAAATAACTTGATGATAAAGAAACTATCAAGATAACAAGTTATCTTCTATGAGTCATCAGCCCATTAACAAAACACTTTCTGTGTTACCAAACTCTGCTCTGGGCAAGTCCTCTTCACGTGAGCCTATAGCCTCTACCACCAGGCTATTTCAGATCATTAAACAGAAAGCCCTGTTTGACAGCACTGCTAGGGGGAAGGACACTGCTACCATCACTACAATAGACACGGCTAAATTTATTTCTACCTTGAGCAAAACAGATCTGTAGAAAGGCCTCTGATCCTTGATATTATTTACTCTCCTCTTCCATTGTTTTTATAAAATGTTCTATGGCCTAATAGCAGTGGCTTGAGTTAAGCGGAGTATGGAGAGGCAAAGTGTAAATATCGTCACATGGCTCTACCAATGCACCTCCACTTGTTCTGCGCTGTGTACAGTAATTATTCTATCCCTGGGTTTCTAATGAGCGGTCTTGAATTTTCCAAAGTGATGAATAAAAATAATAGATTATAATACTTAGCAGTTCCACTGCCCTCTGTCAAAGAATCTCAAAGAGCTTTACAAACATTATTATGTTAAAGTTTCTCTCTGCCCCTGTGAGGTAGATCAATGCCATTTTCCCTGTTTTACACATGAGGAAACAGAGACAGAAAGGATAAATGACTTTACCCAGGATCACATGAAATGTCTGTCAGAGCCAGCAATAGTATTCAGATCTCTTCACTCCGAGTCTTCTTTCTTAATCACAAGACCATCTTTTCCCCCCTCTTCGCATTAGTGATTTCATTATTACACATCAGACTCTTTTCATTAGTAACTTTATTTGAATTTACTTCTTCAAAGGCCACAGTCTAACACATTATCCCACTGTGCTGCCCAGTCTCCGTGAACTGGCTTTTTAGTTATCCAAAGATTTTGGGGTCTTCCTAGTTGCTGAATCTTCCTGTTCCCAGAAGAGAAACTTAATTGAAAGAAAGTCACTTTGGGATAGGTTGTGGCTGGCTGCACTTCCTAGTCCTTCCCGAAAGATTGCCTTTTACCATTGGCCACTTCAGATTCCACTTCTCAAACCTGTTTCCTTTCAGCTATAATCTCAACCATTTTGTAAACAAATGATCAAATCTGCATTTGTCTTCAGCACCCTTTTCTAACTCATTCATGGCGTGTACCTAGCTCCACTTGTGCTTTAGAAGGCTAGCATTAATTCCACAAGCATGTATCATTGGTTCCAGCTTTTATGGGCAATTATCCATTTCACACGACAGAGCTTGGTTTTACTGGCCAGTGATTCTATATCCCATTAAACTGCTCATGGTCTAGCCCTGCCACGGGACACAGAAGGTTCCCAACCAAATTTTCATGACTACATGCTCCATGACAGGTTAGAGTGCAAACAACTGAATGGGAGATGGTTAGTGGGAGCATACCTGGGCCCAGAAACAGCATATTGTCAATACAGATAGGGGATGCCTCTAATTATAGTCTCAAAAGGGTTAACTACCATTAGTTCCACGAGTGCCAGAGGCTGATAATCAGTGTCATAGTATTTTCAAGAGAGAAAGAGGTGTCAATCACATCACAGCATATGAGAAAGCAGTGCACTTTCTGAATCTCACTGCAAACCATTTATTTCAAACTCAAACACACACACACACACAGATATTATTCCATGCCATCTGTGGAAACATTCACAAATAACGAGATTTTGAACCAAATCCACAGTGGTATAAGTCCATGGGAATCAAATTTAGTCCTTGGTTGTGTACTCATCAATAATACTTCAGATGTCACATGCAAATGGGATTTGTATTCATGTCATTTGAAAATACCTGTTAGGAAAATCTAAAGCCATCATCCATAATCTAGCAAGAATTGCTAAATGGCTGATGGTGTGATTCCCACATGCTGTCAAGAGGTGAAACCACACAGGTGGCTTACTATGGATCAGTCTTGGTGAAGGGATGTTATCTTTCCGAGAGTGCCAGTGTGCTTGGGTTCTTAGTACTTGTGAAAAGGGGTGGCATGCCACATTCTACCCTTGATGCTGTAATCTTATATGCCCTACATAACATACATTCAGTATTTACCAGGGATAAGAATCTTAATATTAACACACAGTGATTCCTTAGACATTGTTAATATCATTAATGAGACCAGATCTTTCATGAGTGCCATTTTCAGTGGCTCAGTTTGATAGAAACAAAAAGCATATGTTGCTTCAAAATCTGACAAGGGGCATTTCTGGATTTGCTTACTTTTGCTAAACTGCCCTTGAACCATATTTACTTTGAAGGTTTTTTTGTTTGGTTTTCTAGTATTTTTGTCCTTGCCAGAAGCAAGACCTGTCCTACACAAGGCCCCATGCAAATGCTCACCACAATTTCACGGACATCAATGAACCCTCTCCACCCCCCAACTCCCATCAATGACAACCAGAGCTCACGTAACAAAATGACTGGATGAGCAGCTAGATAACAGTGACAAAAAGGACATCATGCAGAGCATCAGAGTGAGCAAGTGATACTGAGGAGGACATCCATTCCTGCGGGTACATTATGATGGCTAATGAACTAGAGACTGGTGGTGACCAAATAGATTCCTTGCATTGTAGGGTAGATGCAAGGAACAGCAGGAGCTAAAAACAGCTAGGCAGGAGGGGAAAGATGCAGCCAGATGACTTTCCTCCAATGAAGGCAAAAGTGAAGTCATTGTAACAGAAACAGAGCAGAAGGGATCATTGTTCTGCCGTAGAAGCTTGTGATTGGCTACTGTGGTTGATAATGAGGATGAAGGTTCTGATTAACGACTGACATCTTCCTTTTACCTGGAAATGTCAGTGCTCGTTTTACATCACACGGGAGAAATTTACATGCTCTAGTACTACAGATGACTGAGCCATCCTCACATACTTGCAAATTAAAAACCAAGAAATTGGTTTTAATTTTTAAGCAAATATGCAGCTCCCAAGTCAAAGGAGGTGTCCTATTCTGTCTCTATAACTAATAGAAAAGTTGTAGCAAATGGGTGTTTCTTAATAACCTAAATTCCTGAATTATATCTTGTGCTGAGGTGCTGTACCTGTTTTCACAGGTTTATGTTTTTGGTTTCTGAAATCAAAAGGAGCCTTTCATATAACCAAAACCAATCTCCAGAATCCATTCTGATCTAGCACAGGTCCTAAAATTATATGCCCTGCAAGTCTTTCCCCCCCCCCCAGGAACTCAACAGAATCCACCTTGGAGGGCAAGATTAATGAAACCTTAAGACTCCAGGGCTGTATATATGTAGGGCCCTACTAAATTCACAATCCATTTTGGTCAATTTCATGGTCATAGGATTTTAAATATCGTAATGTTCATGATTTCAGATATTTTAATCTGAAATGTCATGGTGTCGTAATTGTAGGGGTCCTGACCCAAAAATGAGCTGTGTGTGTGTGTGTGTGTGTGTGTGTGTGTGTGTGTGTGTGTGTGTGGGGGGGCGTGCAAGGTTGTTGGGGGGGGGGGGTTGCGGTACTATCCTTACTTCTGCGTGCTCCAGGCGGCAGTGCTGCCTTCAGAGCTGGGCAGCTGGAGAGCAGTGGCTGCTGGCTGGGAGCCCAGCTCTGAAGTCAGAGCTGCCACCAGCAGCAGCACAGGAGGAAGGGTGGCATGGTATGGTATTGCCACCCTTACTTCTGTGCTGCTGCTGGTGGGGCGCTGCTTTCAGAGCTGGGCACCCAGCCAACAGCCCCCGTTCTCCGGCCACCCAAGCTCTAAAGGCAGTGCAGAAGTAAGGGTGGAAATACCATTACCCCACTAAAATAACCTTGCGACCCCACTGCAACTCCCTTTTGGGTCAGGACCCCAATTTGAGAAACGCTGGTCTCCCCCCATGAAATCTGTATAGTATAGGGTAAAAGCACATTAAAGACCAGATTTCACAGGGGGAGACCAGATTTCATGGTCCGTGACGTGAATTTGGTAGGGCCCTATATATATGACAAGAATGGAAGTTGATCAACTTTATCCGCTGTTTTGCATATTTATTAAAAGCAACAATCTGTTTATAATTGATAGTTTTCCTACAGTGATTACTGGGGAAGGCTGTCCACCACAGCAATAAATACTCACTGTTTACGGTACCTGCTAGTGCATTAATATTATTCAGTCCAACAGTGGCTCCAGCCAATCCTTGGAGAGTACCCAGAGAAGTCAAAGAATTCATGGCTGCACCAGCCGTGGTATTAGCGGTTGACGCAGCCACTAAAAGGGGGAGAAAGTAGGGCAATATTAATTAAAGTAAACAGAACTTGCAATGTATCAATCACAAAACATCATGCACTGATTCTAATCTTAATAACTGGACTCCTTGCAAAAATGTAAGGAATCAGACCAACTTTCTCAATAAGTTCCCGTATTGGTTGCTGATGGAAAGCACTGCTGATTTTTTTAGTGGTGTGGATTTGATAGTGAAATTTAAGTAATTTGGCTTTCTTTGCAGAAACACTAAATCTGTGAACAGTTAAAAAACCTCTATCACATTCTCAAAAGTTTATCAATAAAGCACTAAGGGCTGATCAGCCAGCTAGACTGCCAGAGAGGCTGCCCCTTCTTAACATGGCCATTAAGCAACCACATGTTACTCATAGGTCTTCGTATTGATATCTGAGGAGATCTGGTCTCATAAACAGTTCCTGTTCTGGGCTCAAGCAAAACCTGAATTGTTCTGTCCTAAGTGTGATACTGTCAAGGCATTGTATCTTTAGGGCACCATATAAATGGAGAATAAAGCACTGAAACATGAACTTTAAAAAAAAAATGAACGAAATACCAAATACAATTAATTTTTCTGTCGGCTTCCATTGTAGTATCTAGGTAGGTACTTCTGTGGCCCCATCAGCACGGTATCCAAGCACACTACAAATATGAGATGTATTTATCCCTGTTGAGGGAGGGAAGTATTATCATTGCAATTTCACAGAAGGGGAACTAAGGCACAGGAAGATTAAGGGACATGTTCAAGGCCACACACAGAATCTGTGGCAGACGTGGGATTTATAGCCATATCTCCTTAATCCCAGTATAGTGCATCTGTCTCAAGACCATCTTTCCTCTGTAGCAGCGTTATCTGAAATGGCAATATCTTATTTTAAAGTGAACGTTCTAGTTGGGCTGTGGTGAAAAGGGCACGAATGCTTTCTGTCCCTAATCCTCTTAATCCTTTCAGGGGCCGTCTCCTCCATCAGAGGCACCCCGTTGGGCAGTGAAAACCCAAGAAGTTAAAGTTTCTAGGCTGACAGGATGCAACAAAGAGAGCGGAAGACAATTTTATCAAAGACAAGGAGTTGCCTTAACAGAGTCCAAGCAAAGTGCAAGTAATTCCTCCTTACTTTAAACAAAGTCACACACACATCTATCTACCTACCTCCCCACAACTCCAAGATACCCTTAAACTTCCTTGCACCCTGCCCCAAAGGTCAACAAATTCCGAAGAGTCAACAAGCCTTCTGGCCTTTGCAATGCAGACGCTGTTAGCTTGAGAGCCCTCACTGATCTTAAACCCTGCTGTCGTGTGTGCATGTGGTGGAGACCAATAATTTCTCAGTCAGCCAGGATCCAAGGTACGTAAAGCCTTGTAGGCTGAAGTATAATTGTATCCAGAAGCAAATAAGGTGTCTGTACAGTGGCTAAATGAGTGGTGTAATAAGCTCCCTGTGGCTAATGCTATCCGGTGGGCAGCTCCATGTTACATCAGCAATTCGTTTTATGAAGAACAAAACTAGAACAAATCATAAAATGTAAGATTAAAATTCTTCCTGTGAGAGAGATTAATGAGCAGATGGGTTGCTAACACATCCTTGTGAGTGAGGAAGGCAGTCCAAATCCTTCTCTTCCGTAAGGTCCCAGGACCTCATTCTGGTTACTGGTGTCAGATCCACACAACTCAAATGCATGGTCAGTGACTGACCAAAATCTGGGCTAAATTTAAGTGCGTTTTCTTGGGTTCAAGTTTCGGTATTCTATCAGTTAACACTGAGCAGGCTCCTCAGATTTTCTCATAATTTGCATTTAGAGCTCACATTATCCTAGTTTGACTGAATATTCAGGTAACTCAGAACTATTATAACATGCTATTGAGAGCACTGAAGCAGCCCAGAAATCAGTGGTCTTGTGTTGCAATTATTTTTATTGCTTGGCAATGATCTGCACTGCAAGCCTGATGGGAGGAATTAGCCATAAGACATGTCAGATACACTTGAGGGTCTTTCCTATTTTGCTGACTGCTACTTTGAGGGGCGTAGGATTAAAGATTTTACATGCACACAATATAATTTGAGCATGGAGTAAAGAGAGGGAAGGAGGACAGTCCAGTGGTCCAGGCACTAGCTTGGGACCTAGGAAACCCAGATTCAATTCCCTGCTCTGCCACAGACTTCCTGTGTGAGCCTGGGGCAACTCAGTCTCTGTGTCCCAGCTCCCCAGCTGTAAAATGGAGGTTAGAGTACTTGTGGACTTCAAAAGAGTGTTGTGGTGATAAATATACTAAAGATTGTGAGATACTACAGCAACAGGGACCACATAAGTACCATAGGTAGGTAAATAGCTGAAAAAATTTCCACAACACGCTCGACACCACCAGTAAACGAAACATGGTACTACTTACAGAACACAAAAATGTAATAAAGGGAAAGGTAAAATACCATGGAAGCTTTATGTATAGAAGCCTGTTATCTAAACTCTTATTTCTCCTACCTGTGGTGTACACTGAAATCGGTCTCAAGCTAAGGATTACAGGAGCTTATCCTGTCTCTTCCCTCTTTTCCTTCAGTTGAAATGACCTTGCTTTAGAAACGTAATGTATGATGAATACACAGGAAAAAAAAAATCACACGGCTTGTGGTAAAGTTAGAATACTGTGGCATTCATTTGGGAAACCAGCAAAACTCTCTAGTGTCAACCAAGCTCCTGGTCTCAGCAGCTGCTCTTACTAATGGCAAAGGCAGCAGAACTCAGTGCCATCACAGCGTTATTTTATATTTATTGCTTTTCGTTGTCCAGGTGACAAAAATCTATTGGATACCTACTGAATTTATAAATTGCTTTCTTCTGGAGCTCCCATGTCACCCAATAATAATAATAAAAAGTTTGGAACATTGTTGCTCTGAATTGAATTGCCTCACAGTAGTGCTTTATAAGCAGTAGGTAGCAGTCTTCGGATTCTGAGAAAGCTTGATGTACTGACTTATAGCACTGTTAGGAAGGTTTTTCTTTATGCTGCCTTTCTACCAACATTTGGTCTAATTGTTAGAAAAACTGAAATGTACAAAACGTGCATAATGGCTTAGTCTTCCGAGCTATACCTTATGGAGTCTTGTATCGGCAGCAGTAAATTGATTATTCTTCACTTGGTACTGGGAATTTTATCCCTGCCTCCTTTAAAACTTAGACACATTTGAGCTTCAATAAGCTACAAGGGCAGCATCAAGGAAGTTAGCTAGCTTCGCAGAGACAGATAAAAGGAACAAAGAAGCAGCTTGTGTTCTAGCCAGGTGAATATTGGGTGATTGTGAACTAATGGCAGGAGAATAGCCCTCAGACTATGACTGAATTTTTTCACGTTTTTTTTAAAGGGCTGGATCCATTTTATAACCATTTGTAACATGACAGACAAGATTCTATTCACTTAGAGGCATTTCTACAGCACTCACCACTATAATACCAGTCATTGGAAAGATTAGAGGTCTCTTTCTAGACAACATGTGCTAGCTCAGTGTTTCTCAATCTTTTTGATACCAGGGACTGACTTGCTGCCTTCCTAAACTGTGTCATGGAGATCTCAGGGACCCGCGCTGGACCATGGACCAGTCGTTGAGAAACACTGCACTAGCTCCTTCAGAAGTTATTGGGATTATTGCAGGAATTACTGGGTGAAATTCTATGGCCTGCTTTAGAGGCCAGATTACATCAGCATAATGGTGACTTCTGATCTTAAAAATTATGAACATATGAAAAATGATCTGAGCGACAAGCTGAAAGATCCAGTTGCACTTTCAAGACTAGGGGTTGCACTTGAATCCGGGGCCAAATTTTCCCCAATTCCCAATGCTGTATTCTGTTCCAGTTGTCTGCTGCCCTCTCTCCCAGAGGGGGTCTGCATTGCTCCTCTATAGAGAGTTTGTAGATCACTTTGGGACCTCTTTGGAATGAAAAGTTCTATATGTGAAAGATCAGAAGGTCAAGATGATTGTTCTCCGATTACAGCCTCTGCTCTTTAGTTCATACTGCCCCCACTGCACCTCATGCCTGGAACCATTTCTCTGATCCAGTATCTCATGCAATCACCTGGTCTGCCTCCTATTACCTCCATTCCCACCCCCATTCTTTTCAATGGATACCCATGCAAATGAATAAAATCAAAGTTATCATGAAAGTGTGAACCAGGATGGGAGCATGTCATAACCAGACTAGATATGGGGTGTGTGTGTGCGCGCAGTCCAGACTAGTGAGGGCTTGTGTCACCATCTGCCATAATATTATTGACCAGTGAGTCATTAGTTTTCAAATGATATCGCACAAGGCATATTTTGTACAAAGAGTATTACAGTAGAGTGTAGGGTGTGAATATAGGGGTGCATTCAGTCCCAGGGCATGTCACCAAAAGGAGTAACCTCATGACCTGATTGTTCCACCCTCACCTGCTGTTTTACCATGACATATTGAATTTAAGGCTTGGATCCTGTTCCCTTTGAAGTCAGTGGGAGATTTGCCATCAACTTGAGTGGGAATAGGATCTGGATCTCAGACTGCATGCTCTTTGGGCCAGGTCTATCTTTGAAGTGCAAGGCACCAGTCATACCTATAGCTGTATTCAAATAATGATGATTTCACAGAAGGCCAGAAGGAACCATTACATTTATCTAACCTGCCCTTCTGCATTAACACAGGCCACAGATTTCACCCAGTTGTTTCTGCAACAAGCTGAGCAACTGGTATTACCTCTTGGGGCTAGGATTTTTGAAGGAGCCTAAAGAAGTAAAGTTTCAATGGAATCTGGGCACCTATCTCCAAATGCCAGCCTAGCAAGACATCCAATCCTAATGTAAAGACCCTGGACCATATTCTCAGATACTGTAAACTGGCGAAGCGCCGCTGAGGTCAATAGAGCGATGACAATTTACGTAAGGCTGACGTTCAGCGCTCAGGGATGGTGAGGTCTGTAGCTATGCAAGCAAAGTCAGTGATACGTGTAATATTACTTATAC